CCCACCGTGCATCCCCACACGGTTGCTGCCTCACTGCCTCTAGGCCCCTCGGGAGCCGACGCGGTGCCCTCAGGACTCTGCTGGGAGATGCTCTGAGCAGCAGACCGGGCATGGCGGGGTGGCACAGGAGGGGACCGGGGCACCAGTGGGACCCGTGGCAGGGACCCCAAGGCCGGGGAGGCTCAGCACAGGGCTGTACTCCCTTCAGACCGTGTCTGTGGGTCAAGGCCACCACCTCTGAGGGAGGAAATGGGCTCTCTGGTATCGCTGGCCCAGGGTGTGTGTTGGGGACCCGGGAAAGGGGAGCAGTTTGGTGGACAGCTCCCCACCCTTGGTCCGCTCCCCATGCAGTCATTTGTCATTTTATCAGCGTCCTAGCCAGGGCTCAGAACTTCGTCCGTCGGTTTAAAAACAAACAAAGATGTGTGGAACCAACATGCAGTAGAATACTACTCAGCCATAAAGGAGGATAAACTTGAGACATCTGCAGGAAAGTGGATGCCCCAGAAAACATAACGTGGAGTGAAATAAATCAGACCTACAAGCTTAAGTGCCATAGGCATTTCTCATTTGAGTGAGGCAAAGTACAGACAAAGAAAACAGTGGAAGAGGGGTGAGAGGGGAGACGGATTGCTTGTGAACGGGAGGGATCCAGGAGACCAAGGGCAAGTGGGGAGGGAAGTGAGCCGCCTGCCTGTCCGGGGTGGGAGAGCCTCGGGTGAGCATCATTCAGGATAACAAGGGCAAGTGGGGAGGGACCCGGAGACGGGGCGGGGCGGGAGCAGGGACTACCCTGAACAAGCTGGGCGGGGACTGAGCTCTGCTGTGTGAGGTCTACACGGTGCCTGGGGGTGCGGCTCCGAAGATGGGGTCCCTGGGATTAGCTGGGGCGGGGCGCTCGGGGATTAGGCCCCCACTCGCTCTCCTCTGCCGCCATCCCCCTGGGCAACTGCGGATGCCGTGCTAGGGGCTCGGCCTGGCAGCCCATCCTGTTCCCCATCTGGCTCCCCCATCCTGGGTCCCTGCGCTTCCCCGTGCCGGGGGCTTTGGGGCTGGCGGAGACACTGATTTTTCAGACTTCCTTATATCGTGCAGAAATCTCTAATGAAAATTCTTACACACGAGGACCAGTGCTGCTTTCCCGTTCCCAGGGCCAACCCAGGTCACCCTTCTGTCTCCAGCAGCACCACGTGTCTGAAGCCACTGTTCCTTCAGTCTGGAGTCGCTGCCTGGGTCTCAGCACCACCTGTCCTTTTTGAGACGCAGTGTCTCAGGTGGGGTACAGACAGCCCTGTGTGACCCATCCCGGCTGCCTTTAGACCCGACTTTTTTTAAAGAGAGAGAGAAAAAAAACACGTTTTACCCATTAAAGAGGAAAGGTTTCCATTCAAGGAACACGCGTTTCTCCCGCAGTTAGGTCGAGCAGGTACTGAAAGCTCTCCTGGTATCATAGTAGATATCCATTGTTGGAAATAATCTACCAATATACTAGCTGGAATTTTCAGAAACAGAAATATATATAGTCAGGATATATATATATATAT